TAGTGTTGCCAAGTCCGCGGTTTTCCCGCGGAATTGGGCTACTTTGACACTGTTGCCGCGGGTTGTTTTTCATGTCCGCGGGTTGAAGGAACTCCAATAACATGATATTTATCCCCTGAACGTGATTATTAACTGGGGACCCCCTCGAAACGCGATAGGTCTAGTTTTGAGTAGCGATTGGGTGAGTTTTCTTGTGATAACCTGGCAACCCTGCCTGTATCATAGGCACTCTAGCTCAGGCTTCCCTCACGCTAGAGCTTGCTGGCACTTTAAAGACAGTACCGAACAAACAGTAGACATACCTAATTTCTGGAAAGAACAACATGCGGTTGTGTTTATAGCAGTTGAGAAGATCCGCCCTTTTACCAAAGGATGAAACGTAGAACAAATAACAAACACTAAACAGCCTAGTTGTCGAATATTTTGCATTGCCAAGGCTTTTCGCTGTTCTGTGATTCTCTTGAATGGACCGAAACGGACAAAATAATGTTAGTTAAAAAAAAATTGACAGGGATTGTATAATAAATGTTTTGTATTGTGTCAGATTTAGTTTTGCTTGCTTCAGCACTAAGCATCTCAGATAATTAATGTCGGTTTTGTCTGTATTGTATGTCCCAGGCTTGGGTTCGAGTGTGTTGAGTTTTCTAATTCTAATCAGAGTTTTACGCTCTTTTTGTATCTGGTCTGTACGACACTTTTATTGTAGATGTCTGTTGAAACCAATGCAACATGATATTTGACTTTTTATGTGCAAATGGGTCGGGTTTGGGCGCATTCGGTCTGTTTCTTTTCAATTCTGACACATAAAGGGAATCTTTATATCATTGTCGTTGCCATTCCAAGTATTTATTTTCACAATGAACGTTGCGGTTCAGAATGTAAGTTTTTACATGTTTGTGAACAAGGACGATATTGTTTTGTTTTACATCAGACACCTTTGAGAAGCGATGTTTTCATATTGAAGGAACTGACTAATAATGTTGACCATATTAGACCGCATAACCTCCGTGGGTCATTCGGAAATACACGTTTATTGTATTAAGCTATTCATCTTTGTTCGCATGAACGAACAAAGTACACTGCAGTTTGTTCGTTCAACTTTGTTTATCGCCACCTTTTTGGGTGGTTGTGTGTATATGTGCGAGTGTGTGTGGAGACGATTAAGAAATATTACCGCGTTTGGATGTGAGTGTGTGTGTGTTGTCGCTATTTCCCTTAAATCTTACTGGACTGGCTGTGTGTGTGCCACAGCTTGTCATTACTGTGTTTTTCTTGTCAAAAGTTTGCTAAAACTGCATCATAGCCTTATTTTTAAACTCTATTAAACACAATTTCATGGGGAATTCACCTTCTGTCTTGATTTTATTCTCTGTGTTCATATGTTCAGGTTGTGATGTCTCATTCACAAAAAGGTTTGTCTTTTTAATGATTCATTCAAACTATTTCTGTAGTCTTTCCTGTTACGCATTGCATTCATAATGTGTTATATAATTACCTGAAGTTCAGTCAGGAAACTCTAGACTGGCACAGATTGGTCTTTGTCGTGTAATCTGCTAGCATTTACATCGTATACTACATAGTACAAGCAGTTTTGGCTCAGCTGTATCTTGTTTGCTCAACATTTAAATAGTCTGGTTCAGTGTTTGCTGTAAGCCAGTCCTGCAGCATGCTATCAGAGGTACTCTGAAACCCTCCACCTCCCCCAGCTCCACTTGTCTAGATCAGCTACAAGAATATTAGGTATGTTTATTTGCGCAGCTGAAGCATTTCTGTGTATGTCTTGGTAGTAGCAAATCATTATACTTGCTCTGAAGCAATAACAGTAGCAGCAAGAACAACTTGTGTAGCAGATTTATTCCACCAAGACCAAATAAATTAGCATAGTCATACCAATTAACATGCTAAAAGTACTCAGATAGTGGTAGTGACTAAACTGCTTAAATTATATTTTTATGGTGTTTTGCTGTCACCTGAACACATACTTTCACATTCAATGTCCCAAATTAAATGTCTCAATATGTTCGGGGAAATATTAAACTCAATTTTTGAAGTTGAAAATTAGTTAATTTTCAGCTAAACTAGATAAAACTAGATAATCCAGGTTTTCTAATTTGTAATTAAAATAAATGAGTAAATATATAAAGTAAATGAAATGTTTAAAATCTATTTTTGGTAATAATTATATTAATATTGGTCATTATTTCATAGACTTTTCTATATTGTCAGTATTCAATATACTGACAATATAGAATATATACATATGGAGGACTAGGAGTGATACTATAAAAAAAATAGAAAACAAAATGGAAATAAATTTGTGTTTAAATGGGCAAATGAATGGAAACATTTCTAACTGTTTATTTAATTCATGTTTTAAATGTAGGCCTAGTTAAAATTTTTATAAATTCATAATTTATAAAATTGAACAATAGACATTTAAAATGATTGACAATAGCTCTGATTAGTTTTGTGGTATTAATTAGTTTCGATCTAAAACATCAGTCCTGGTTGATATATTTACAGAAATCGGTTTGATAACTTTCTGCTGACACCCTCTGGTATCTAAACCATCAGTATTGTGGGGCCTATATGCGCTTCAGACTAATAAATTAATTTCGATGTTTGACTTTAATCAAATGTTTTTCGTTTGGCATTACACATTTGCAGTGTTGGGGAAAGTTACTTTTAAAAGTAATGCATTACAATATTGCGTTACTCCATAAAAAAGTAACTAATTACGGTACTTAGTTACTTTTTATGGAAAGTAATGCGTTACGTTACTTTTGCGTTACTTTTTAAATCTGGACAGGGCTTGCTTGTTTGTTTTTAAAATAAAAAAGTTATATTTTTTGGCAAATATAAAAGCCTTTTCACACCAAAAGTGAAATGAATAAACCTCAGGCTGAAGGGAAAGTACATTTACGTCCGTACAGTAGAATGCAGAAGAAGACATTTCAACACACTTCAGCAATAAAAAAACACACAAATGTTCGTCTTGAGTAAGTTTGGCTTATTAGTACGGTTGAACTGGATCATCGAAGGTCAGAAGCAAAGACATTGCTTAATAGAATGGGATTAAATACATAAAGGATATTCATGTTGTGTAACATTTAATTATTGCAGGTTTGCGTCATATTCTGAATTGGATTATTTTTATTCATTTTGAGGAATACTGAATCTGTGTGAGTGAGTGAGGAGATTAATTAATGCATATTCATATTTATTTTAAAACTATAGTAACATCTTATTTCTCTCAACATGGGGACAGGAGAGCTGTCAATCAATAAATTGGAAAAAAAATTTTTTTTTGAAAAAGTAACTCGGTTATTCTCTTGTAAATTAATAAGTAATGCGTTACTTTACTAGTTACTTGGAAAAAGTAATCTGATCACGTAACTCGCGTTACTTGTAATGCGTTACCCCCGACACTGCATATTTGGTACGGTTTACGTCGCTGATCCGTATAATATAGCTAAAACACCATACTGCGTTTGTCCAGCAGGTGGCAGCGCTGCACTGTTCCCGCAGGCCCAGAGCAACACGTGCTGATGGGAACAGAGAGAGAGCTCGACATTAACAGAGCTGCAGCGCTTACATAAGAGAGCCAGATGCTCTCGGAGGCTCTTCTGTGTGTGTGTCTGCTCAGCTACCTACTCACACACTTAGAGGACAGAATCCCACACCTCCGTAATTTTTTGTTATTGTGATCATATTTTAGCTGTGTTCATTTTAATATCGTTTGCAAACTCATCAAAATACAGTTTTAAACACGTTACACAATTTTTTTAAATACAATTTTTAAATTATTGTTAAACATAATTAACAATATTCCATTATTAACATAGTATATGAATATGGCAATCATTCAGGTCTTTGGTTTTACTTAGTTTCACCATCTGGTACCATGGTAAGGTCAGTTTTGTTTTGCAAAAACTTGCAATGTGTGA